TTTATATTTTTTATGCTTCTGTAAAAGGATTTTTTAAGAACTTCAATAGCTAATTGTTCATTGGTAGTGTATAGAGATAACTGATTTTTGTATATTGGTCTTAATATTCTTATTAACGTCTTCATATTTCTGGCATTCTTCCTTCATATAGCTCTCTCCTCTCCTGCTAAATCTAGCCACCTTGGCCTCCGCAGACTCTCTCTGTGTCTCTTCAACTCAGGGAGACGGCTGTATCTGCAAGGCTTACCCCTCTCCGCCCACTGCTTAGAAACTCTGCTGTGGGCTGGGCGACTGTAGGGCTCACCTGGTTTATTTCTCATCTCAAGGATCTCTCTCCTTTACTGCTTGAGGTCCAGTGTCTTTCAGATGCTTGTTTCATAGAGTGTTGTTCTTTTCAGTTATTTCAGACAGGTGGGTAAATTCAGTCCTTGTTTACTCCATCTCGGCTGCCCTATTTTAAAACCTTTGTTGTGAATGAAAACTTAGGTTCTGGCCCGGTGAGAACTTACTAGGTTCTTACCAGAAGACCTTTAGGCACTCTGCTCTGTTTTATTTAGAAATTAATCTAAGAATGCGGCCAGAGTTTGTGACTAAGAGTGTAAGAACTGAGTTTACACAGGCGGAAGTTTGATATTACTTCATTGTTATAGTGTCACCTTGAGCAAGTTACTTATCCCAGCCAGAGTCTCAGTTTCCTCATTTATAATTGGGAGAAATGACATTGGTGGTTAATTTTAGGTCAGCCTGGTTAGGCTGTGGTGCTCAGTTGTTTGGTCAAAATTAGCCTAGCTGTTGCTTTGAAGATATTTTGTAAATAGGATTGATATTTACAGTCAGTTGACTTTAAAGAGGCATTACCAAATAAACGTTGAAAAAAAAAATTTAAAGAAAAAAAAAAAAAAAGGGGGCGCCTGGGTGGCGCAGTCGGTTGAGCGTCCGACTTCAGCCAGGTCACGATCTCGCGGTCCGTGAGTTCGAGCCCCGCGTCGGGCTCTGGGCTGGTGGCTCGGAGCCTGGAGCCTGTTTCCGATTCTGTGTCTCCCTCTCTCTCTGCCCCTCCCCCGTTCATGTTCTGTCTCTCTCTGTCCCAAAAATAAATAAACGTTGAAAAAAAAAAATTTAAAGAGGGATTACCCTTGATCAATGTGGGTGGGCCTCATCCAATCAGTTGAAACAAGAACTGAGGTTTCTTTTTTTTTTTTTTTAATTTTTTTTTCAACGTTTATTTATTTTTGGGACAGAGAGAGACAGAGCATGAACGGGGGAGGGGCAGAGAGAGGGGGAGACACAGAATCGGAAACAGGCTCCAGGCTCCGAGCCACCAGCCCAGAGCCCGACGTGGGGCTCGAACTCCCGGACCGCGAGATCGTGACCTGGCTGAAGTCGGACGCTTAACCGACTGCGCCACCCAGGCGCCCCAAGAACTGAGGTTTCTCAGAGAAGAAGGAATTCTGGCTCAAGGCTCTAACATAGAAGTCCTGCCTGGGTTTCTATCCTGCCAGCCTGCCCTGTGGAGTTTGGACTTGCCAGTCTCCACAATCACATGTGCCGGTTCCTTCAATAAATCTCCCCAAGCAGGGCATTGCTATGATCAGTTCTTTTGTTCTCTTTTGGTCTCTTTCTCATACTCCCCCTACCATGCATTGATTTTAAAAATAAATGCCGCAGATAAGTTAGATGTGCGGGATTTCACTTTCTCATTTAAAGAAGGTTAACTTCCATAAGCTGGAGTATACCAGGCAATCTTGTAGAATGAAATACATCTTCTCTTTAAGTATATTAATGTATATATTAAATAAACACACATATGCAGGCTCAGCAGTGGAGGCTGAGAGGGCAAATGACAGACCCTATTTTCCTACAAACTTCAAGTTTTTATACTTACTGGCTTTACAGAGCCACCCTGAAATTCCCCTCCATGACTTCTCCCTTCACAGAAGCAGCCCCTGGGGCAAATGAAGAATCTGGGGGTCACAGCCAGGAAACTGAAGTTGGGAGAACTGCAAGCAGTGGCAGATTGAGGTGGACTGGTAATGAAGGAGAGATCAAACCCCAAATTTTTGTCCTGAACAATCCAGGGCAATCGATATATAGCTGCCTGACTTATATTCTGCCGAGGAAGATGTAAGAGCTTCCACTCTCCACTCTGGCTCCTAGAGAATCAAGAGAGTAAAGGAGGAATCTTGTAAGCTATGAGAGCATCCTTTTGCTAAAAATATTTCAGTTTTTCTTCCGCTTACAGTATTATTTACACCTTCCGCGTGCCATTAAAAACTGGTATTTCTGGCGATGAGTTTCACTAGGAAGCATCTAAGCAGAGATTATGGAGTGGGACTTCAGGCTGAAAGTCTGTGTGAATCTTCACCCTATCAACCCATTTGCTCGAGTAGATGTATGTATTAATTCAGTTATAGAAATAGCAACTTAAATAATGCATGAGCTCTAACCACTTTTTGTAGACAAAGGGATTTAAGCAACAGGAGAGAAGGCAATAGTATTCATTCTAGTAAACATGTATAATTTATAGCAAAGGGAGATAAATGGAGAATAATGATAGGAAAATATCATATTTAATATCTCCAGTGTTCTTTTTCTTTTTGCAGTGGATTTAGAAAATTGAAAAGTGTAAGCCAAAGCGGTCGAAGTTTTAAGTTCTATGGTATTCTGACATGTGGCTATTTTAGTCACATAAAAGTTGAAATTTCTGGCTTTAGAAAAAGAAGAGACAATGGGAATAAGAAGAGAGATACTCTTATAAGCCAAGGATGAATTTTAAAATGGTGTTTGATGTATCCCTTTCACTGTCATGATTTGATTCATGCTATGAAACTGGCACAAACAAATACTAAATGAGCCATTTTAGAACACATTTAAGATTGAAAGCTTTGGTAGAGAGGGAACTAGACTGTATATCATTGGTAAATCTCATTTCTCTGAAACTCCTGACTTTCTTTATACTTTTATTGGCTTTTTCTTGCCAGCTTTTAGTCTCCGTAGTTGAGTCATCATGGCTGTTAGAAAGAAAGCCAACACATGCAAAACCATATGAGAGAAGACTAGATCAATTTTGAAATTATAAAGACTCCAGGAAACAGCAAAGTTAACACACCTGGTATAAAACATACTTGGAACACTTTCATATTTAATGAAAAATATATTCCACTGAGTGTTAGCACCAAACAACATTACCTAGAAATCCATTAATAGTTTTGCAGCTTATTGGAAGATTGAGATTTTACTATTCCCACTCTAGTAGAGCATTATATGAAACTGCCTTTAAATCTCAAAAACTAACCCTGAACTCATGCCAAATTACCACTCGCCCCTGATGAATGGAATATACCATTAAATGAAAATATGAAAATTTCAAAAATATGTACAGAGACATTACAAGTTACTTATTAAATCACCTAGTATAAGATGGATCTGTGACCAGAGCATCCCCTAAAGAGGAGAAAATATTTATTGAAAGGGGTAGCGGATCATGGGACACATAGTGGTTTGTTCGGTAAATTGCTATGTTCTCGCTTTAGGGAGTCTGAATTCTGTTATTTCCTCTAAACTGAATCTTAGTTATTCAACAAAGATACCACACTATGCTAAGAAATAACCTACTAAATAATGATAGAGACTTCGCCCCGCCCCCGTCCTCCCTGAAAAACTTCTCTGGAATTTCCTGCTTCTTTTTGATGCAAGAGCTTTCTTGCTTCTGTCCTTCTTCTAAGGCTGATTGGTTTGTATCATTTTTGAACGTGTATTTTTCTTTAAAAATATCAGTTCAAAAAATTCGCAGCCTTACATTGTCTCATAAAGATTATGCTATGATTAAACCCAGACCCAGATTGTAGATCTGCTTTCATTTTTTTCTGAAACGCAAACAAGAGAAATTTCAATGAAAACATTCCTTTTCCCACCAGAAACACTGGGCGCTGGTAATCCAGGTATCACCCTATCTGCAAATATGCATCCAACACGCAGGGCCTGCATGGAAGTATTTTAAAAGCTTAACCTAAGATTTTCATATTAAGGATGGAATGTAGTATCTTTTGATTCCTTAAATCCCTGCTTTGAAGAAAGGCACCTTTTAAAAATGTTCTGGGTAATGAGCCAGGGCTGCTAACAGGTATCCTGTTAAATAAATAATGAGCTCACCTGCTTCCCTTTCTCAGTCCTTCTTAAAAGTGGGGAGATAGCACCCAAAGATGCACGAGAAAGGATGTTCACTGCAGCATTGTTTATAATAGCCACGAATTGCACACAACCCAACTGTCCGTCAATAGAGGACTGATAGGGACACCTGGGTGGCTCAGTCTGTGAAGCGTCCAAGTTCGGCTCAGGTCATGATCTTGACGTTTGTGAGTTCAAGCCCCTTGTCAGGCTCTTTGCTGACAGCTCAGAGTCTGGTGCCTGCTTCGAATTCTGTGTCCTCTCTCTCTTTGTTCCTCTCCCACTGGCATCCTCTCTCTCTCTCTCTCTCTCTCTCTCTCTCTCTCAAAAATAAACATAAAAAAAGAGGGTACTGATAAATAAGGTGGAGTATAGGAGGTAACACTAGAACAGAAGCCCCGAGACCAGCTGCCCGGTTATGGATGCCAGTACCACTGCTTACTAGTTCATGTGGCCTTGGCCAAACTACTTAAACATTAGTTTTCTCACCTGTAAAGTTATTCTTAAGGTTGAATTGAAGTATGAGATAATAGTTGCTCATATCCTTCACACCTACAACAGTGGCTGGCAAATAATAAATAAATACGTGACCCAGTAAATACGTGTTGAATAAATACACAGGTTGCATGCATAAGTGCCCAGCAGATAGCTGGCACTCAGATGGTAGTTATTATTATGGTATATCCATACAATAGGATATTAGGCAGTAATTTTAAAACTTTATGTATCAGTATGTAAACATAAATTTAAAAAATTTTAAATAAGATATACATTTTTCAAAGTATAAGTTGTTTTATACTTGTATAAGTACTTATACTTGTATAAGTACAAGTTTTATAAGAAAATGGCTAAAATATGCAGACATGTACATATGTACTTTCATGGCATTCATGCACATAAGACCATCTCTGGAAGCATCCAGAGATGTTGGTATGCGTATATTCCTTTGCATACTGCTTTGTACTCTTTGAATTTTGCCCACTCATAGCTGTGGCAGGTTGGTTTTTCTGGAAGCAGATTCTGAGCGAAGGCTAGTTCACAGGATGTTTACTACAAAGCGCTCTTGTAGGGGAGGAGGAGGAAGCAGAATTGGGCAGAGGCAGAAGTTGATCTGTGATTGATCCCAACAAAGACCTCAGTCAACCCTCTGAGGAACCCTGAAGCTGGGATGGCCCCTCAGAGTCTTCCAGATGGCCTTCATACCCTCGATTGATCAGTCACTGGATGCTGGCTAACCCTGGAAGAAAGTGGACCTTCAGTGAAGTGCCTTTTTTTCAACTGAAGCAAACTCCAAAGAGGGTTGACAGGGTTTTCTAGTACATTCTCAGCAGCTGGGGAAAAAAGTCCTTCTTTCTTGAAGAATGATCAGGTAGCACATGCCTATATCCATGACATTATTTATCTTCTCAATAAATGAATGAAATAGCTATCAAGGATTTCATTTCCAGTCTCCATCATTAAACCCCTGAGCTAGCCCAACCATGAAGGGTAGGCAGTCTTGGTAGTGTGACTTGATGGGTGCTATTACACCACCCTGCCAAAAGTATGTGAAGTTTTAACACTTTGCTGAGGGAAGGTTAAGGAGTGCTTCCTGGAGAAACTTATTTGTGTATGCTAACTGCCTTAACAGGTTACTCAGTAATTGTTTATTACCTATCAACAAATCAGGAGTACAGGAATTGGCCAGTAGAGAACTAGACATTGAAATTATCCAGTTTCCCTAGTTTAGGCTTTATAAATATTAGTAGGAGTTTAGGGTAAATTCTCTGGACAACCAGAGGAGCATATATATAATACAGAGCAGTGTTCTACAAAATGAGGTATGTGTATTCCAGAGGGGACAAAAGAGATTCACTCGCCCTATCTTTATAGCAAGGACATTTACTATGGAAAAGAAATTTGACAGTTTTTATGCATACATGTTTTTGTCTTTATAAAAGGAAAAACAAGGAAAACTACCCAATATTTAATGAACATATGGAGATTGGGCCCTTAATCTATGAGCCAGACTGCCTCATTTCGAGTACAGTAGAAGAGAGAAGCCTAATTCAACAACACAACTGACAAGGACAAGGACACCCTCACTTCTAGCATCTTGTATCATTTTGTAGTTAACTCATTATTGGTGAACTGGAATGGAAAATAATATTATTTTGTTTTAACTAAACAGATCTTCACATAATTAGTATGTGGTACTGACTATTGACAATTTTGGTAACATGGTATCCTGGATTGTATCCTGGAACCAAAAAGGGACAATAATGGATGAACTGGAGAAATTCTGATAAAGTCTATAGTTAACAATACTTTACTAATGCTCATTTCTTAGTGTTGATACATATGTTGTAGTTAGAAGAGGCTAACTTTAGGGGAAGCTGCATGAGCCTGTATGGGAATTCTTTGATCTATTTTAGCAATCTTTCTGTAAACCTAAAATATACTAAATATAATCTCAAATTAAAAGTATCTTTAAAAACTCTTTTTGACATATAGCTTTTTATATTCATTATTGTTAACAGTGAATGTTGACCTAAGTGTATAGTGTTTCTCTGCAATATTAGAAGATGATAGAACAAAATTATCATGACTAGCGAGTTATTGGAAATGAATAATCCAGAATATATATATATACATACACACACACACACACACACACACATGCCCATGCCTCTGGTTTCGTTTGAAGTATAAAGTTGCGTTATTCTCAATTCAGGATTTTAATTTTATTTTATCATTATTTTTCTTAACGTTCATTTTTTTTTAAACGTTTATTTATTTTTGGGACAGAGAGAGACAGAGCATGAACGGGGGAGGGGCAGAGAGAGAGGGAGACACAGAATCGAAAACAGGCTCCATGCTCTGAGCCATCAGCCCAGAGCCTGGCGCGGGGCTCGAACTCACGGACCGCGAGATCGTGACCTGGCTGAAGTCGGACGCTTAACCGACTGCGCCACCCAGGCGCCCCACGTTCATTTATTTTTGAGAGGGAGACACAATGCGAGCAGGGGAGGGGTAGCCTCTAGGCTCAGAGCTGTCGGCACAGAGCCTGTCACAAGGCTCGAACCCACGGACTGCAAGATCATGACCTGAGCCAAAGTCAGATGCTCAACCGACTAAGCCAGCCAGGTGCCCCTCAATTCAGGATTTTAAGAACAATTTACTAAATTTTTACACATATTTAAAAGCTGCTTTTGAAATTTCTCTTACAGCAAATATACCATTGGAAAAACTGCAGGAGAGAAATAATTTACATAAGGCAGTGGTGAAACATTTCAATGCTCTCTCTAGTTAGAAAACTCTTTAGAGGACAGAAAGTGTTAGTAAAAGTGAAAAACCGCAGATGGTCGCTTAATGAATTGTCACTGAAGAATCAAAGTTGAGATGCTTCGGACACGACTCTGTCAATGGGCTGCTTGATTCCATTTCAATATTGGAATACATGCAGAAATGCTTCTACAAGGTCTGCCAAAGAAAAGATGTACGAGAAGAAGACTCATGCTCAACAATGAATGGTTTCTTTAATTAAGAAGAAATGGGGGGGGGGTCACCCGGGTGGCTTAGTCAATTAAGCTTCCAACTTCTGCTCCGGTCATGATCTCACAATTTCTGAGTTCAAGCCCCACGTCAGGTTCTGAGCTAATGGCGTGGAAGATTCTCTCTCTCTCCTGCGGGGGGGGGGGGGGGGCTGCCTCTCTGTCCCTTCCTGGCACTCCCTGTCTCTCTCTCTTTCTCTCTCTCAAAAATAAATAAATAAACTTAAAAAACTTCTTTTAAATTAAAAGAAGAGAAAACATGGGGCTATGGTGGTATCCCTACAAGTGTACTCCTTAACAGGATGGCAGTTTGGAGAAAATTGAAAAGCAAAGAAATCGAAGAAAACGCACAGACCTGTCCCTCCTATGACATTCATTGACTGCTTCAGTCACAAGGATTCCATTGCAGCAAAAACAGATGAGCCAGAAGTCCACAAAATGTTACAGGATGTCATCACTGTGACGAACTGAAAGGAAAAAAGAAATGGAACCTTAATGAGTTGGGGAAATGACCGCAAAAATCTTTTGGGCCCTTAGAGGGTTCTAAGTTATCTCGTGACAAAGCACTTAAGAATACTACTAAACTTGAAATGGTCATTATTCTTTTACAAGTACAAATGTTCCAAATACACTGGCTTTTGAGTGAGTGATAAAAGTAATAATTTTTGAAAGAAATTCATACCATGGAGAGAGTATTTTGAAAACGAATGTTTAGAAAATACTTCCAATTTATGTGGCTTTTATTGGCAGAAACAAATATAAAAACTATTATCTGTACAACACAAAAATCTTAGAAACAGAATTTTCTACATGCCCCCAATTTTTCCAAGTGAAGAATTTTATCCAAATGCAGAATTTTGAATATTCGTTAGAAAATATTAAGAAATGCCACACTTTCCAGTTAATTTACAGCAACAACTATTGAACATTTAGAAAATTGGAAATATACTAGCCCATAACAAATCTTGGAATAAGTAGTGGATGGAATTTAAAAGATCAGTATCATAATTTAATAAATGTAGTTTAAAAAAAGGTACTTCTTCCACCCGAATCTACATATCTTGGTGAAGCACATTTTCATTTATTATAACAAAGTAACAAAATGTAGTGAACTAAAAAAGCAACATCTTGAATTATTTTTGACCCTGCTCTAGCACGTGTTAAACCAAGATTTCACTGATCAGATTTTTTAAAATGTTATTTCAACATTTTTCCTTTTAAAACATTCATGTTAAGTATATTTAAATGTTTATAATATGTTAACATTAAAGTATAATATAGTATATAAGTAAATACAGATATGAATATTAAATTTTTAAAAATTTTTTTTTTAACATTTATTTTTGAGACAGAGAGAGACAGAGCATGAACGGGGGAGGGTCAGAGAGAGGGAGACACAGAATCTGAAACAGGCTCCAGGCTCCGAGCTGTCAGCACAGAGCCCGATGCGGGGCTCGAACTCACAGACTGGGAGATTGTGACCTGAGCCGAAGTCGGCCGCTTAACCGACTGAGCCACCCGGGCGTCCCTTAAATATTTTTAAAGTATGTAGATATGTTGGATGTACACGCTCGAAAGTTTTTTACTGATAGGGATGCATGATATATAGTCTTGTACAGAGGAGGGCTAATCAGAGACGGCAAAGAAAATGGGTTGATTTAGCCCTTTATAAAATCTGCCGGAGAAAACACTGTTCCCCGCAATACATGGTGTATATTGAGTGTACGTTGAACCTCTTGTGCTGAGCAAACAAAATTGCAAAGCTGTTTACATAAGCGTCTTTACAATTGCTCAGCAATGTCTTCCATTTGCCTTTGGTTAAAAGTAACATGGGAGGAACACAGTTCCAGAGATTCTGATTCAGCAGGAGGACAAGTGTAGGCCCATCCACAGGCACTATGGAGTGTTAAGAAATAAGACCTCATTTGGAAGATGAGGAAGACCGAGCGCTCGAGCGTTGAAGCGACTCGGCCAAGGGAACACAGGTAGCTCACTAACCGGGACTAGGACCTTCCCAGACTCTTTTCCCTATCCGGTGTTCCTTTGGGTATGTCCTGCTCCCGAAGTGAAAATCTGGTGCCTGCCCGGTTTGATATGAGCAGACGGGAGAAAAGCAACGGATCCAAAGTTTCAGCTCCAATCACTCTCCACTTGCAAAATATCCTTTTGAGTTTTCTGGTGAGACTAATGGCCACGTTGCTTTATAGAGCTAAAGACAAAACGTTATTGTCGGGTTTGTTAGTGTCACTGGGTTGCTAGGAGAGCGTCTGCAATGGAATTTAGCACGCAACACTAGCTTTACTTCCGCAGGACAACCCCGCCATGTGCAAAGGACGCTGCCTGTGTGTGAGGGGAGCGAAGCGAGGCGTGCCAAGGCCAAGACCAAAACACCACGTGAAAGAGTCGATTTCCTCCCAGACTTGGTGGGAGAAGACTCCAAGACCAGCACAGCAGTCCCCAAATCAAAATAGGACTCTCCTAATTTTTAAAAATAAGCATACAAGGGGCGCCTGGGTGGCGCAGTCGGTTAAGCGTCCGACTTCAGCCAGGTCACGATCTCGCGGTCCGTGGGTTCGAGCCCCGCGTCAGGCTCTGGGCTGATGGCTCAGAGCCTGGAGCCTGTTTCTGATTCTGTGTCTCCCTCTCTCTCTGCCCCTCGCCCGTTCATGCTCTGTCTCTCTCTGTCCCAAAAATAAATAAACATTGAAAAAAAAATTAAAAAAAAAAATAAGCATACAAGGGAGCCTGCGTAGTTCAGTGGGTTAAGCATCCGACTTTGGCTCAGGTGATCTCATGGTTCGTGAGTTCGAGCCCCACGTTGGGCTCTGGGCTGACAGCTCAGAGCCTGGAGCCTGCTTGGGATTCCGTGTCTCCCTCTCTGCCCTTCCCTCACTTGCACTCTGTCACTCTCTCAAAAATAAGTAAACATTAAAAAAAATTTTTAAATAAAAAAGATCGTGCTTCAAAAGTAAGTTAAAAAATAGACATACATTACAATTTCAAATGTTATTCTGTTTTTGATTTTATGATACCCAACCTGCTCATTTCTCCTTGACAATAGTTATACCAAACAGCTGTAAAATGGACCCAAAATATACATGGATACATTTCTTTGGATATAGGTAGCAACCTGGCCTCAGATTTGATTTGCTGGCCTTGGGAACCATCCGCAAGCAAGTGTGGGAGCGGGATGGTAGCTCAAGCACCTTGTTGATCAGATGGGTAAGTGCAGACGAAGGTAGCAGAGGTGGGTTACAGATGAACGGAACAGATGCTCGCGTGTGAGGTAGGTGACAACGTGCTAACTGTGTGTTGGAATCAAGAGCACATACCGTCTCTTCTAAGCACCAGAATTCCAAGTGCCACACACTTGCCTTACTTATTTACATCTCAGAAAATATGCCTCCAAGTGTAATGTGTGCATATATATATACACATATTTTCAGAGTGAGAGAAAAACCGAAAGAATAAAGGGAGATTTGACTCACCAGCTAACATCTCTCAAATGTTTGAAAACTGCTGCTGGGAAGGCAGGATAGCTCTTGCCTAGAAAATATAATGTATTTTAATGTGAAAGTACTCCTTCACTTTTTTGAGGGGGAAGGAAACCTGTATTATAAAATCCCCCAAAGCAAACCGTGGTTGCTATTTCTGGAGTCTTCCTGCTGAGCGAAAACGTGAGGCCCTTTCCCCTGGGACCCCAGGCTAAAGGGCACAGCCAGGTGCTCCTCCACCTGCTATTGAATTCTGAGCACAGGCCAGAGGAAGGGAAGGGCATTGATGTCGGTCAAGCAGACCCTATCCCCGGGTCGAAACAGAGAACAAAAAGCGGCCAGGAAGGATTGCGAGGTAGTCAGAATTAGAGGAAATCTTCCATTTCCAGTGCTGGGCGCGGGAGGTGAATGGTGGCGGCTCTCAGGACTCGGGCCCGCCCTGCTCAGTGGTGGAGCACAGCCTACGGCCCTGTGCCCAACAGCCGCCCCTCCTGTGGACCGTGCTGGGCTCCAGCTAACAAGACGAGGAAGTGGGGAATATCTCCAGAACTTGGGTCCCCCCTCTTCAGAACCTCCCCACAGAGGGGAGGCCAGCTCCCAGGGGCTGAGGTGATCAATTTATGAATACACCTGTCCACCCAGTTGGAACAGAGCCTGAGAAGCTTTGGTTCACACTGCAGCCCTATTTCTATTTGAGGGATGAGAGCCTTTGCCCCCCATTAAAGGGGTTGGAAGGATGTGAGCAGTTTGTGAGTGGCCCTGAAGTCATGGTGCCAGGTTGTGTGGTGTTGTGTAGGGTGCCATGTTTTTTCCTGTTTTGGAAAGCGGAGGTGGTATGAGGACTAAAGAAGAAGAATATAATCCTCCGGGGGTTTGGAAATCCCTGGCAGGTGCCCCAAGTTGATGAGGGCACCCCAAGTGCCAAAGAGAGGGCTACTGGAAGAACCAATGTGTGGCCTCACCTAGATCCCAGAACTTGGGCTCATGAAGAAATGGGCTAGAAGCTCCCAGGGCAAATCCCGGGCCCCTGGTGCAGACCTGCCCACGTCTGTGCTGTGGTCCTGCAGGGCTCCCCCCTCCCCCGCCACCGCGCTGTCCCCCGCCTCCTTCCAGGGAATCATGCCACAGGGGAGGGGCAGCTGGCAAGGCGCATGAGGGGATTTGTATTCGGCAATGAGAAACTGAAGGAATATTGGTGGCCAATCCCCAGAGGAAAAACACATGGAACGTATGCTATAAGAAAGGTCTCCCGTTTTCTCCAATATTGCTTGGTGAAGAGGAAGTCATTTCCCTTGCTCGCTGTAAGTAATTACCCCCTTAACAACAACCTATCAAATTAAGAGATTTCGTTCATGTAGCTCAGAGATTCAGGGAGCATGGTTTCCATTTATGATTGTTTTAGTAATTTCAAAGTGAGGTGTCTGCCAGACTAAAAGACACAACTCTACCTCTGTTGCCAGGGTTTTGTCATTGTGAAGCATGCTTCGTTAGACAATCTTTCTCATCTGTGGTCTTGACGGAGTCTCCAGATAGGTGCAGCTGGTCATGACCAGTGTGTCGTAGCTGGGGACAGACAAGTGAACCTGGGGAGTTTTCTGATCTGGTGCCTCAGGGGCACTTTCCTTCCAGCTCAGTTCAGATGATCATCACCATCAGGTGATTTTTCTCACCTCCTACTTTGTCCTCATCTTTTCTAATACAAACTCAATTACGTCAAGATTTCATGACCCATAGGTCCACACCAGGGTCGGGGTGCCACTGAACAGGGATGGCCAGGAAAGATCCAGGCTCAGAAACTAGGTTAGCAGATCCTATAGCTCCTATGGGTCAGAGAGGCTGGCGGCAGGGGCCAGGGCCAGGGCTCTGGCATGGGAGAAGCAGAGCCCAGGAGAGTCGGCCTCCCGTGGGTAGTACAGGCCAGGAAAAGCAAGCCCCCCAGTCCAGCAAATCTGACAGCAGAGATGCAGCTGAGCAGAAAACACAGAGCTCAGAGTCATGAATAAGGAATGCCCTGGGCTGCCCTTGGATGAATGGACGAGGCCCCTGAGCCCGTCACTCTCACACACCTCCCTCGGTGGCTAAATCGAGTCCTAACTCAGAGGCTGGGCCCCTCCAGGAGCGCGGCAGCACCCACAGTCTGGAGCAGGGAGGCAGACACAGCTGAAGCCTGCGGTGGTTCAGAGGGTGCCACGCTGTTCCCCTTTGCTTTACATGCAGGGCAGTTCTGTGGCCGTGCCCGTTTTCCCTTGACTATAGTGTCGCCTGCACCACAACGGGACACTCTACGTGGCCAGAGTGAAGACGGTGAAGAAGGGCTGTGGAGTGTAACCGGTGTGTGTGAGGAAGAAGTGTTCAGGTGGTAACAGAGAAGCTGGCAGTGGTGGGGAGCCATGAACTTTGGGGGAGACGGGAAACAGACCACGGGATTGAGAGCAGGAAAGTGGAGATGAGGCTTTCAGAAGGCGCTGGGATAAAGGTGGGCTTGCCATGGAAGGTAACCGGGGTTGGGTGTCAGCCACCACAGAAACTGGCCCGGAGGCCCTCAGGGCTGAGTTGGGGGCTGAGGGTGCCCAACATCCCCTTTCACGTGGAATTCATTCAAGGCACGGAGGTGAGGCCCAAACTGAGAAAACTGGGAAGAAAGAGACAGAAACAAAGCAGGACACGATGGCCTTTGGATCTATCCACGAAACTCCATGATGCCCCATGCTGGGTGCCAAGCATGACACCCAATCTGAGGACACCGATAGGTGTAAGCCTGGTCCCCACCCTCGAGGAGCTCTGAATGGTCGGGGGAAGAAAGGAGACGGGTCACACTGGCTAGGACAGACAAGCCAGGCTCCTCAGGGCGTTAATGAGAAGGCAAGTGTGCTCGTATCTTCAAGCTCCCTGTTGTGCATTTGGTAGAGATGTCCTTTCTCCGTCCCGGGGAGAACTCAGGGTGCCGGGACTTTCCTGATCACATTTAGATGTTAAAAGTGCCCCAGTCAGATCTCCAAACACCACTCATTTCAGTAATTAATATGGCTCATCAAGTGTAATAATCAGAAGCTTCACACTTCATTTAATAGTACAATTTCGCCTGACTCCTGTCCCCCTGCCTTGACCTCAGGCCAATGTCTGCAGGAGCAAGGGACCCCTCACCCCACCCACCCCTCCTGTGGATTTGACTCTCTCAGGGTTGGGAGTCGGGGAGAGGAGGAGGACGAGGAAAGTCGGGGAGCCAGGAGGTTCTTATAGGACTAGGACTACACGTGGCTGTGGATTTGCACTCTCTTGGCCCACAAGTGTTCCAGCCACTTTTTTCTTGCATGGTGACTCCATTGCTTTTCCAAGACCTTCCAAGTCCAAATTCCCAGTTCGGCCACAATCCTATCTCCACTGCAACCCCTTGAGGCTCTGAATGCATCTCGTCTGGCTGCTCATTTTCCACTTTTCTCAGCTCCTGGGAATCTGAAGTCACCTCCCCTTAGGGGCTCCTCCCTCTCTACGTGGCATACAACCCTTTTCATACAACCCTCTGGAAACACTGAGTCCTCAGGGCCCCGACTCTGAGCACCGGCTGATCCTACGGCAGTCACCTCTCCTTGCTTTGCCATCAGAGCAGCAGACCAGCCAGGCTCTCCCCTCTAGACTCCAGCCTGACTCCAGCCACCATGCCCCGCCCCCCAAGCTTCAGGGGAGGCTAGCCCTCCAAATACTTCCTCAAAGCCCCTGTACCTTGGTAGGAGGGAGGGCAGTCATCCCACTCTTCTGGGTGGGATGCGCAGCTTAGCTTCCTCTCACAAAATGCTCTACTGTAAACCTCAATTCTTTTCTCGGCCTCTCTGTCATCTTTTATAGTCTGGAGGTGGGTGGTGGCGGAGAGTAGAAAACTGGTTTCCATAAGCACTTTCGCAACTCCTACAGCTCATTTTGGAATGGTTCATCTATTGCTTTGGGGCCTCGGTTGAAACTGAGACTAAAACAGTTCCCATTTAGCCTCCTGGGTGATTAACAGAGGATATCCCCCCCCCACCCCCCCACCCCAGGCACAGCGCATACGGAAGATGAGAGTATTTGTGCGGTGTGGTACGCCAGCTCCACGGATGTGCTGTTCACAGCTGGCGGGCACCAGCCAGGAGGAGCTTCAGCTGCCCTAGGCCCAACCGGGACACTTAGAGGCCTAAGCGCACAAACAGGCCCACAACCTATTAGCAACACAACACGTGCTACTAACGGGTCGGGAAGCCGCGCCCTGGATGGGGCGCCAGGCCCTGAGTGGTGCAGAAGGAGCAAAATGATTCGTTCGAGCTGTAGCATGAAGCCACCAACGGGTGGTGGTGTCTCAGCTGGGGTTTGAAGAATGAAGATGAGTTCTGTAGGCGGCCAAGTAGGGCAAGGGCATTCTGGGTGACTCGATCGTTTGGTGCAGCTGGAGAATTCAGGTGTGTGGCAGGTAGAGGTGATGAGGCCCTCCCTGGGCAGCGCTTTCTCTCACAGGTGTTCCCTACAGCAATGTTAATTTTACCTCAGCTTCATCTTGACTCCTCTCTCCTTCTTCCTTTTCCTCCTCCTCTTCCCCCTCTTCCTCCTTCCTCCTCTCCTCCTCCTTTTCCTCTTCCTCTTTCTCCTTCTCTCCCCCTTCTTCCTGTTCCTCCTCTTCCTCTCCTCCTCCTTCCCCCTCCTCCTCCCTTCCTCTTCCTGCCCTCCTCTCCTCTTCCTCCTCCTCCCTTCCTCCTCCTCTCCTCTTCCTCCTCC